ACATCACAGGCCACATCTTCAGGTCCAGCATAGCAGAGATCAGCAGGAGCAGCTTGGAGTCCAGTCTTCTTCAGTTCCTCCAGTAAAGCTGCTAACATGGTGCTTTTTACCAGGACAGGCCTCGGTGTGAAGGTCTGCCTACACTGAGGGCAGCTGTGGATTTTCTTCTCATCCTCTTCATCCCAGTAGCTTTTAATACAGTTCATGCAGTAGCTGTGTCCACAGGGAGTAGTCACCGGATCCTTCAGTAGATCCAGACAGATGGAACAAGAGAAGGTTTCTCGGTCCAGCTGAACTCCTTTCTGCGCCATTTCACCTCTCAGTGACAACGACTGTCTGAGTTTCACTTCCTTATAAATGAGGCCGGGTTGAGCTCTGATCTCAACAACATGTGTCTCTGCAGTGAATGGGGCCTGTCAGCTCTTGCTCATGTTGGTTACACCCATCTACAAACTGTAGATCTGAAGGGGAGGGAACAAGGAAATACATGAACAGAGTGTAGCTCGCTGTGTTTGAATCAGGAAGAAGAGGGAGGGGTTATCGAGGGTTTAAAGTTCTGTTTTATTGTCATTATACAACACAGGATTGCACAATAACATGCAGTTGTAGTCCTCTCCACTCACACACTGAAAATGTCAAATTCAAATGGATAAAAACTGACTGGAAAGGAGTAAAAGATTCACTGTGTCTAACTTCTCTTCCTGTACAAAGAGGAAAAACAGCTCAAGATGGCAACATGAAGAAAAACATCCAAAAGTTACTCACTGATTATTAAATCATAAAACAACTATCAAAATGTTACAGGCCTCAAGCATGAGTTACCCGTAAGCAGGTATAGTATCCTGTTTTGTGCAGGAAAAGCAGAGACAGGAGACGTTACTTGTGATCGCTCAGCAGGCTGTTCTCTGTTTTTATTTAACAGAATCTTTCTTTTTCACTTCATTTAAACCAACTTAGTGTTTTGTTCACAACAATCTTCATTTTGCAATTTACATGACATCAAGCTTTAAGGTTCATATACTAACCCACTGGACTGACATTTTACAAATGTACAAAATGACTGCTGAATGAAACAGAAATCAAATTCAAACTCCTAATTTGTACCATTGTTCACCAACAGTGACTGCTATTTAGGTCCAACACCACATTTACAGTAGCATTAATACTTTTAAGCCCAAGCTGTTCACATTTTTACTAAATTCTTAAACACAAAGTATACATAACAATAACAGGCCATCATTACAAAAATACCTTTGCCCTTTTTAACTTTACCAAAATATTTGATCTATATATTATTATTATTATTATTATTATTATTATTATATTATCCTGGTAACATGACTTAGATGAACGACTTAACAACTTTACACAACCGTACTTCACAAAGCTTTGACAAAACAAATACAAGACAGAGGGTATGTCAAGGAGCAGGGACCAGAAATAAAAGAAGTATTAAGAGGAGCGAGCAAGATTTCATTGCAGGAAAACTCAGTTTCTTAGCTGAGCAAACTACTGTTTTACACATCAAACGTTGTCAAAACAACATAATGAAGTCCTTATAAAAAAAAGTCCTTATAAATGCTTTGTGACAAGATATGACACACTACTAACCTGTTTTGTGCAGGAGAAGCCTCACGCAGCCCTACTAGCGCTCACCAAAGTGGACACTCCCTCTTGTGGCACAACTGGGAAATTGCACTTTTAAAACTACTACTCCCATGTCTTGTAAAGATTCATTAACATTTGACCTTTTTCACTGGCTAATACACAAAACATTTTAAACAGTTGTGACTATACATTTGTAGGCGTCACAGAAACATTTTGAATGAATTTAAAGGAGTAAATATGTTGATTACACCAGAATACAATGAAAACAATACAATTAATGTTACATAATTACATTCATCCTGAGTTTTATATCGGAGGTGAGAAGATATTAAAGTCTGTTATTTACTTGCTAATTAAAGAAAATGTAAAGAACAAGATATTAGAATCAGAGTGAGTTTTATTATAAGAAGGTTTTCAATACAAGGAATTTGCCTTGTTATCTTTGTACATAATAAACATAAAGTGCTAAAAACTATAAATAAAGGAAACACGGACTTCAAGTCAAAAAGCACAAAAATAAAAACATTATAAAGAGAAAAATAATATGTACAATAAGACTGTTATATATATTTTTATTTTAGCTCTTTGGTTGTTTGAACTTCTTTAATGCAGGACGAGGCTGTTTATCAGAGGTTCTGTGAATATAGTTTGTGTTCAGGTCTTCAAAGTCAAATTAAACAAAAATGCTGAGATATGTCTACTGTATTTATTTTCTAAAGTTTTCTATCACCCCATAAAACCAAGAAGGCCTCCCGACCTACTAAATAACTAAAGAATACATAATACAGACAGAGAATTGTATAAAAAGTTCCCTAAAATATCAGGAAAACTGATCTCTGATCAATATTCAAAGGAAATAATCTGCTCAAACTTCATCCAAATCTCTGGTTTTACACAAACTTGCTGCAGTTATTGTGTTCACTGTTTGGGTTCATTGTTCAGTTTATCAGCTGGTCTCTGCTGTTATTGTTATAATTCAATATAATATGAAATATGTGTAACATATAGTTTACTCAGTGATAGAAAAGGTGTCCCTGAAGGATAAAGGCTGGGAGCCAGTGCCTTAGAGGAATGGAAACAACGAATCATTGTGAACTGAATGAACCTGTGTCTGCTGCTTATTGAACAATATGGATACAGGAAAGTGCAGTCCTCCATATATTCACATGTCAGTGTGAGACCTGGCTCCTGAGCTTGTGACTCTCTATTTGAGTTTACACAACCCAATAGTGTCTCCAGGAGTCTAAAACAGGACTCATGTCAGCCAAGCACTCCCTCAGCCCTTCTGCACAGCTTTGCACTGAACCGTGCTCCAGCATTCTTTAAACACAGTTGGTTCCTCCGAGACCGGCTCCACTGGAAGAACCACATTGGTCAGCAATGCTGTACTTTTACTGTGTGCTGGTTGAAGTGTGTATAACGCTGACAGTGATCTGCAGCACGCTATCATCAACAGCCAGCTGGCAGAGCAGTTTAATGCTCATTTGAAAGGAATCAGGCACCACCTGCCCAAGTCTAATATTTATGCCGTCAAATGCCTCATTTCTGACTTGTTGTCGTCATACATGAGTTATCTTATGAAAGGATGTCAGATGTGTTTTTACAGGTTACACAAAGCAGTTCTGTTGTGTCAAATCACACATTTGAGATTCATTGTGGTTGTTATTAAGTTCACAAACCATGGTTACAGTGAGAGATACAAACTATGATGATTCAGTCTATCTAACCTGCTGCCACTCCCCGAGTGTCTCTCTCCCTCTCTCTAACTGTATGTGTGTGTGGTTGCCTGAGTGCAGACAGGTTCCAGCTTCCAGTCCAACCCTCAGCCCCAGGTTCACACCCACCAGCCCAAGCTTCCCCAGGTCTGCACTCCCTCTCCCCCTCTTTTCAATAAACACTAGTTTCCTATTAAGTCCCTGTCTCCTGGAGTGTCTGCATGTGTGTTCACGAGCTCAGTCTCAACACAAACTGGTTAGGGGGTGAAAAGGTGAGAAGGAGGCGTGAGCCGAGAGAAATACAAAGCGACAAGGGGGTATACTCTGGAGATTCTTTATTTTAGTTTAAAATAAGCTGCTGAATACTGATTTCTGATGACTTTAACTGGTCACAAGATAACACAGTTACAATATTCAACAAGTGAAGTAGAAAGTCTTAATTCATGAGATCAAGATTAGTATTTTAGTGTCCATGATGGTGGACACAATAGCCCCATCCTTCTTAAGCACCAGAGCAATGGGGCGACACCAGGCACTGTTGGACTCTTCTACTACTCCCATCTCCAACATGGCTTTCAGTTCCTTCTGAGCCACTTTTCTTTTGTGTTCAGGTAACCGATAGGGCTGTGAACGCATCGTCACGCCTGGGTGAGTCTCAACGTGATGCTGTATGAGACTTGTGCGTCTTGGCAGGGGGGGAGAACACATCAGCAAAACGCTGTTGCAACACGGCAATGTCTGCTCTCTGGGACAGGGTGAGATGGTCATCACAATGGAGCAAGGCAGGATTGGTGGACTTTGGTACCTCAGGCCCCAAGTCATCTCTCTCTTTCACCGTGGTCACCATAGAAACATTCTCCGCCTCTCTCCACACTTTAAGGAGATTAAGGTGGTAAATCTGAGTTGCTTCTCTCCTGTCAGAACGCACAACCTCATAATCGACATCACCCACTCGCCGTGTGACCACAAAGGGCCTTTGCCGCTTGGCGAGTAATTTAGAGCTGGAAGATTGGAGTAATACAAGTACTTTATCTCTCGGTGCAAATCGTCTAAGTCTAGTTCCTCTGTACAGGCGTTGTTGACGCTCCTGGGCCCTGAGCAGATTCTCCTGTGACAACTGTCCCAATGTGTGGAGTTTTGCTCTCAGGTCCAGGACATACTGAACTTCTTTTATACTTGGGCTCTGACCTTCCTCCCAGCTTTCATTAACCACGTCCAGAACCCCCTGTGGTGTCCTGCCAAACAGCAGTTTCACTAACAATGACCACGCCATCACATGTATGAAATAAGAAACGTTTATTGCACATAATGAACAAATGTGAACCAATGTGGTATACTGAGGGATGAGGGGTGATTCGAGGGATGAAGGTAGGTTCGAGGGATGAGGGATGAAGGTAGGTTCGAGGGATGGTTAGAGGGATGAGGGATGAAGGTAGGTTCGAGGGATGAGGGATGAAGGTAGGTTCGAGGGATGAAGGTAGGGGGATGAGGGATGGATGTAGGTTTGAGGGATGAGGGATGGATGAGGTCGGAGGAATGAGGGATGGATGAGGTCAGAGGAATGAGGGATGGATGAGGTCAGAGGAATGAGGGATGGATGAGGTCAGAGGAATGAGGGATGGATGAGGTCGGAGGAATGAGGGATGGATGAGGTCGGAGGAGTGAGGGATGGATAAGGTCGGAGGAATGAGGGATGGATGAGGTCGGAGGAATGAGGGATGGATGAGGTCGGAGGAATGAGGGATGGATGAGGTCGGAGGAATGAAGGTAGGAGGAATGAAGGTCGGTTGGCGGATCGATGAATGGATGGATGGCGCGATGTAAGAGGGAACTGAGTGGGTTGCGAGACACTGAGTGGGGGAACTGTCTCTTCGTATCTCTTGTAGAGAGCCCCAGTGGTTCCTGTATTTGGATAAGAGGGAGACAAAAAGAAAGGGTTTGGGTGGGAGGGATGTGGGAAATGAGTCAAGGAGGGAGTGAACGGATAAGGTATGCTTAAGTAAGTTTTGAGCGGAAATTAGATGATTGCAGGGCGTGGTCTTTGTTCCCGAACCTAGTTATAAAACATCATTCAAAGGGAGAAAGTCCTGTGGAGGCCTGGGGCACCTAACGCACTGCAAACAGCAGAGGATCTAGCCACCAACAACAGAGGATCTAGCCACCTATCCCAATTGCGGCCGTCGTGCACAAACTTAAGGATCATGGACTTCAAGGTTTTGTTCAGACGCTCGACAAGGCTGTCGGTCTGAGGGTGGTATACACTAGTCCGAACTGACCTGATGCCCAATAATCCATACAGTTCCCGGAGTGTGCATGACATAAACGAGGTGCCCTGGTCTGTTAGGATTTCTTTTGGGATCCCAACTCAGGAGATGACCTGGAACAGTGCCTGTGCCACACTCTTTGCAGAGGTTGTGCGCAGAGGCACTGCTTCTGGATATTGAGTTGCATAATCCACCAGGACTAGTACAAAACGATATCCACGTGCGCTCCGGTGAAATGGCCCGATGTGGTCCATGCCAATACGCTCAAATGGAACGTCAATAAGTGATAATGGACGCAATGGTGCTCTTGGGATGGCCAGTTGGTTAACCAACTGACTTTCGGGGAAAGACTCACACCAGCGGCGTACATCTCCCCGAATCCCAGGCCAATAGAAACGGGCCATTATCCGGTTTAGTGTTTTTCATACCCCATGTGCCCCGCCACTGGGTTATAATGAGCCACCTGGAAAACTGTTTCCCGGCAGCTTTCCGGAACAAACAACCTCTGCTGACTGAGTGTCACGACTCACTCTGTATAGCCTGTCCCTAACCAATGTGAAATGTGGATATGTCTGTGCTGCATCAGGTTGCACCAACTGACAATTTTTATCACTTGGTCAAAGGCAAAGCGTAGAGTATCGTCACAAGACTGCTCGAGTGGAAAATCTTCCATGGAGTGCAACGAGGGAACCTGTGGAGCCTCTGATACTCGTTAAAAGTAAATTATCTGTTCTCATGTTAGCCGAGCACTCCCTCAGCCCTATACTGCACAGCTTTGCACTGAACCGTGCTGCAGCATTCTTTAAACACAGTTGGTTCCTCCTAGACCGGCTCCACTGGAAGAACCACATTGGTAAGAAACGTATTCCTGTTACTTCTAATGCCTAAGAGGAATGCTGTACTTTTATTGTGTGCTGGTTGAAGTGTTGTATAACGCTGACAGTGATCTGCAGCACGCTATCATCAACAGCCAGCTGGCAGAGCAGTTTAATGCTCATTTGAAAGGAATCAGGCACCACCTGCCCAAGTCTGTCAAATGTCTCATTTCTGACTTGTTGTCGTCATACATGAGTTATCTTATGAAAGGATGTCAGATGTGTTTTTACAGGTTACACAAAGCAGTTCTGTTGTGTCATATCACACATTTGGGATTCATTGTGGTTGTTATTAAGTTCACAAACCATGGTTACAGTGAGAGATACAAACTATGATGATTCAGTCTATCTAACCTGCTGCCACTCCCCGAGTGTCTCTCTCCCTCTCTCTAACTGTATGTGTGTGTGATTGCCTGAGTGCAGACAGGTTCCAGCTTCCAGTCCAACCCTCAGCCCCAGGTTCACACCCACCAGCCCAAGCTTGCCCAGGTCTGCACTCCCTCTCCCCCTCTTTTCAATAAACACTAGTTTCCTATTAAGTCCCTGTTTCCTGGAGTGTCTGCATGTGTGTTCACGAGCTCAGTCTCAACACAAACTGGTTAGGGGGCGAAAAGGTGAGAAGGAGGCGTGAGCCGAGAAAATACAAAGCGGCAAGGGGGTATACTCTGGAGATTCTTTATTTTAGTTTAAAATAAGCTGCTGAATACTGATTTCTGATGACTTTAACTGGTCACAAGATAACACAGTTACAATATTCAACAAGTGAAGTAGAAAGTCTTAATTCATGAGATCAAGATTAGTATTTTTGTGTCCATGATGGTTTGAGATGTGTCACTCTGTTCTCCACTGCAGTATAATAAGAATACCTTACAATAAACTCAAAGGTACATTTAAATGCTGTTCCAGGATCAGTGTCATTACCCCAAATTTAATATTTACTGACATTAGAGAACACTTTAATTCAGTCCTGTAGCTCACACATGCCAAGACGTTTGTACAAAACATAACAAACTTGTGTTTTCAGCTGTGTTTGCTCTGCTGCTCTTCCAATGCGTGCTCCTTCCAACGCCGCACACAAACTTACACACTACTAACTTCCAGCTAGCCCATCCGTGTTCACGCAGCACCACAGTGGAAGCAAAGCAGAGCAAACAAAGCCAAAACACAATTTTGTTCTGTTTTTCAAAACATCTAGGAATGTGTAAGCTGCAGGACACTTGGATTACTTCAGATGAGCAATATGGAGACATTTTTTGGATGTTTGAAGCCAAGTTGCCGTTCAATGCAGTTTTGTGAGAAACAAACATCTCGGCAAACTCCCAGAAGAGCATGATGAGTCCTTCTATCGGCATCGGGGTGAGTAGACGATGACAGAAATTTCATCTTAGGGTGGCTAAAATGGGTTTGAGGTAGCTTGTTAAAGGCACAAGGACAAGTTCAGGAACTGTTTGCATAGAGCATACGTAGCCTATCGTTTGGAGAGGCTTTTTAACCTTAAACTCTGGAAAACATTTGACATGCTGGTGCATCTTAAAAGACATGCTTACTATTCCTTTTTATCTTAAAGAACAGTGTTTTGCTCTGAGGTTCTAAACGTCTGTTTCTGTATCATGAGTAATATCCTACAAAAAGCAGAGCATCTTGACACTAAAAAGTGCGATATTTGGCCCCTCGCTCTTTTCATGCCCACACTCACATCCGTGACCCATTAAAAATGGCCCCACGAGCCACCAGTTGAGAACCTCTGGTTTAACTTGAAAATGCTGATCTAACTTCTTTTCTTTTGTCCCCAAAACGTAGCCACTCCACATGGCCACATACAGTATTTAATACAGTGCAACAAGTTCAAATAAAAATGACATCATTAAAACGAGAGAAAAATAAGAAAATAGACAAATAGCCACATTAACAACTGTGCCGTATACATGTGCACTCAGACTCAAGTTTGTTTCGCAGAGACAGGATTTTCGGGGACAGCTTAAGGACATCAAGCTCTAGAAGAAGCTTTTGAAAAACTTCCAAAGTGTACTTTGTTTTTGGGGGGTAACTCAAATTCATGGCATAAATGATGCTCATGAGCAGGAGACAGGCCTTTGTAACACTTCCATAGTTGTCAAGTACCTCAGTCCCTTCAATAACAATGGACACATCAGTGTCGGATGCACCTTCATCTTCTTCACTTGTGTGGAAGACACAGATCCTCAGGACTTGCTCAGCCTGGTCCTCTTGAACTTCCTCTCTGCTGATATCCTGTAAAATATATGTGAATCCATGTTCAGGTGCATAGTACATATTCTGCTTCATTTTCATTTGGAATAGTATGTATATTCTGTGATGATGGTAAACCTCTTACAACTTATGAATTGCAAAGCACTACACAATTTTGTTTTTACCTGAATAGCCAGATGGCTTTTCTTGTGACACAGCTTGCTGTAGTTGCTGTTTGAGATGGCACTGTGTCAACTGTACAAAGTTGTTGCTTTGGGCTTAAGGACAAAAACACAAAGACAAAATAATACATTAAAACTACAGAATACTACAAGAAATACTACATTAAAACTAGAGGATCATGTAACCAAAATGAACTGTACCACTGTCAAACCAATGTATTTTGGATAATATTTGAAAATATGGCTCTGATCTAAAACATTACACCCATTTCCACATGTGTTAAATCTTAAATGAAGAAAATCCTGCATTTTTGCCGCTGTGATTCTGTTCCTCTCCTCAAAGAGCATTGCTGGTCTAGATTCACGTTGTTGAGAGAGAGCTGTGTCATATGCATCAAGAATAATGCAGAATCCAAATTGAAACAGTGTAAACGGAATCAGAATAGAGAACAATGAGGCTTCATATCAAATTATGAGCAAAATATAGACGAGGGGATTAGAAAGAAAGGGATCCAAACAAGGTGATGGTCCTTATGAAGCATGTGGAAGAAAATGATCACAGGAAATGTTTTTGGATAGATCATTTGAATTTTTTCCAATTTCCACAAATGAATCTGAATTTCAGATACTTAAGGCTCATCAGTAGCTCTATAACAACTCAAAAAGATGGAAAGTGCATCATTTCTACAAGTGGTGGTTCTTTTAGTTGAAATAAGACACATAAAGTATTTTCATATATGGAATAAAAATATACAGCCACAGTAAGAAACAAATCTGAAATGCCAATAAATGAAATCATATTTATCCTGATAAACTGAGTGACATTTTGTGGGAATGAACATCTCTCCTGACCTCTGTTTGCTCTGTCTCAGTAAGATTTTAGATTTGTGGCAAACTACGAGTACACTGCAAATGAACAAAAACCATAGCTTCCTCTTTAGCTTAAATAATGATTAGCAGCAGGGTTTTGGTGAGGTCTGGTAGAGGCTCTCCAAACCGACGCTGCGGATATTTGAAACGTTTTCTCTCCTCCCTTCCCCTCCTATGTGTAGCGGTTGTGTACTCTGTCGTTGCCTTGAGTTCATTATGCGAAGGAAACTCATCATTTTGGCAAACCCGCCATTTATCCACAGCATCTAGCGAACTATTAATTATACAGTCAGTCCCGGATTCAAAACACTATTACAAACACTATTAAAACTTACTTGGTATTTCTAAGTTCATGGGCAATGACTATGAAACCTTTGAATATTATGTGAAAATACACAATAAAACTTACTCTTCCCACACAGTTTATTTATTACATGAAAGACATATATAGTTTTACTTGAATAATTCCAGTTCTCACTGATACTTACAATTAGAAAATAACAATTGTGACAGTTAACCTAATAAATATTACTACACCAAAAAATGTATGGCTGAACAGACACAGGAAGGAGCGCCACCTAAACACACTCAAACATTTACAGGACAACTAATGAGAAGATGTCAAAGTACCGCCCACAATGTTTGATTGACAGCTGATCTCTGTGCAGTGAAGAAACGCCACAACAATCAGCTCTCAGCAACAAACATGAAGACAAAATCAGTTTAAGGATTCAAACTCAGAGTTTAACACAAAGTCCCTGAAATGACTTCTGTCTATTTCAGTTTATAGAACTCAGCCGTGTCTCCATAATAAAGCCTAAGTCCAGCATAGAGAGGCTGAGTGAATGTGGTCTGGACTCTGTGGAGGAGAGTCATGGTTTCAGAGACGCTGTAGAAGGACAGAATACCTGCACTGTGATCCAGATACACTCCAACTCTGGAGGACTGAGGACCTGAGACAGGAGTTTTGACATTGTTGTACCAAAAGTTATAACTGTTATTGTAACAATATAATGACCAAGATTTGTTATTGCGTCCAAATACACATTCATATAAGCTCCCTGCTCTGCTGATATTCTTGTATGCGACTGCTACACGAACTCCTCCCCCTCTCCACTCCACCTCCCAGTAACAACGTTCAGTCAGACTCTCTCTACTCAGGACCTGACTATAGTTAGTGAATCTGTCTGGGTGACTAGAATAAGACTGTTGTTGACTCATTACTGTTACTTTTCTGTTCCCCTCAGATAATAACAGATATGTGTTTGCTGTGTTTGGATCCAGTGTGAGTTCACGTGAATATTGTAAGAATCCAGCTCTGGTCTTGGGCTCTGGTTGTGGCAGTAAAACATCCACTTCAGTCACTGTCAGTGAGACGTTTGTCCATTTGTCCCTCAGAACGTCCTGTAGTTTATCTCTGAGCTCTGACACAGCCGCTGTCACATCCTCAAAGTACCTCAGAGGACGGATATTGATGCTGGATGTAGATTCACTGAGTGCTGACAGTGAGGGGTAGTTGTGTAGAAACTGGGTGTGGTCCTCTGTGTGTGACAGCTTCTTCATCTCAGCGTCTTTCCTCTTCAGCTCAGTGATCTCCTGCTCCAGCTTCTCCTGAAGCTCTTTGACTCGACTCACTTCAGTTTCCTGCTGGGATCTGACCTGCTGCTTCACATCAGAGCTTCTTTTCTCCATGAGACGGATCAGCTGAGTGAAGATCTTCTCACTGTCCTCCACTGCTTTATCAGCAGAGCGATTGATAGCCTCCACCTCCCGTTGAAGCTCCTTCACATCTTTCTCTCTGTCCTGGATTCTCTGCTGGATGTTTTGTCGACTCACCTCGAGCTCTCTCTGCCTCTCAGTCCTTTCTGCTGCAGCTGAGACTGTGTCGTGGCCTTTATGTTCATCCATCAAGCAGAGATAACAGATACACTGCTGATCAGTACGGCAGAACATCTTCATCACCTCATCATGACGAGAGCAGATGTTCTCCTGGAGCTTCTTGGAGGGGTCCACCAGCTTGTGTTTTTCAAATACAGGTAATTCAAAGTGAGGCTGGAGGTGTTTCTCACAGTAAGAAACCAGACAGACCAGACAGGACTTGAGGGCTTTCAGTTTTCTCCCAGTGCAGACATCACAGGCCACATCTTCAGGTCCAGCATAGCAGAGATCAGCAGGAGCAGCTTGGAGTCCAGTCTTCTTCAGTTCCTCCACTAAAGCTGCTAACATGGTGTTTTTTACCAGGACAGGCCTCGGTGTGAAGGTCTGCCTACACTGAGGGCAGCTGTGGATTTTCTTCTCATCCTCTCCATCCCAGTAGCTTTTAATACAGTTCATGCAGTAGCTGTGTCCACAGGGAGTAGTCACCGGATCCTTCAGTAGATCCAGACAGATGGAACAAGAAATTATTTCTCGGTCCAGCTGAACTCCTTTCTGCGCCATTTCACCTCTCAGTGACAACGACTGTCTGAGTTTCACTTCCTTATAAATGAGGCCGGGTTGAGCTCTGATCTCAA